AGTAGATAATAATTAGTATGAACTAACCTTAAAGTAAAGAGGAACACAAAACTTAACCTCCAAAGATGTGTCAGTTTTTCACTTCTTAATCAGGGCTTAAACTTTTTAGTTAAAGATTTCCACCTGGAGCCTGATTTTGATCTTTTAAGTTCTAGATTTGTGTGCTACTTGGCAAGCAGCACAAATAGATTGGAAGGATGATCACAGTTAGGATATCTGGAAAAGAAGGGGGGGCGAGATGAAAGGTGACAAGACAAGACGATGACCATGATAAAATGAAAGGAAGCAAAAAAGAAACAGGAAGAAAGATTGAAATGAGCTAAGGATAAAATGATAAAATAACAAAGGCAATATAGACAAAGGGAGGGGGGCAGAGAGGGGGGAGAAGGAGAGGAAATGTGAGACGAGAGCTTGAGAAAGCAGAAAATGGAGGAAAGTTGATGACAGCAGAAAAAGAAAACAGAGCAGATAATCTATCCACAGGGGAGAGAGGTAAGACGTTTCTACTGACACAGCTTCATCCATGTGTGTTTGGTCAGGATGTGGTTCCTATAGTGACCCAGGCACTCAATTTCTCGAGGTTTCAGAAGGAGATGCTATCTTCCGAAGGCAGTCAGCATTGTGGATCACAGAACCCTGTCAAAGCAAGATTGGCTTTGGCCATAAAAGGCTTACGTGGTGCTTATTGTTATTCCTCCAGTTGTGGTTTCGTCTCATAGATCTGGTTTCCTACCAATGTGCTGAACTGTAGAGAAAGAAAAGCTGATTGTTAAATAATCTGTCATATTTACAATATGTTCATCATTGGCACGTTTAAAATAAAAAAAAATCTGTTTTGTTTATATTTCTGTAGTCCATAGTCTGCCATGATCTGCTGTGGTAGCTGGCCTTAAATACTCATGCCTTTCACCTGCTTCACTCTTTCCAGCTCCTAATTATCATTCATCTCATCCACCTGCCAGTTTCCCGTTGGCCAGGGGAAAGATGGTTTTGGTGTCTGTCTCGTCTCCTGATCGTCCACTGTTCCTCCCCTGCTGAGTCCTCAGGGTTTTTGGCTCTTTACGTGAGGAGGATCCGTTTTTATTCCTGTAAGCCTGGCTCTAAGGTGGAGACCAGTTTAAAGGTCCTGCTCAAGTTTTGGTTCCACGTCCTGTCTCGGCTACCCTCTTCCACGGAGCCTGCCCGTCTGTACCTGATCCTGTCTGCTCCTGTGCGTGTCCGCCTGGTCACGCTTCTGGACTCTGTTTGGAGTCTGAACCTGCCTGGGAGCTCTAGGATGCCTGGAAGCCAGGATCCTGCCTGTTCTGTCTCTTCCTGCCTGTTTCTGCAGCCCGGTCCAGGATTGGCTTCCTGCAAATCCTCCGGAGCTGCAGTGACTGTCAGATGTCAGCCCATCTGCTGGATCACACCCCCTTCAAGGGTGATGGAATGAACTGTTAAACCAGGTAAGTGACTCACTGGGATCATCATCTTCTTTCAGATGATTGTGGTAACTTACCTGTGTTTCTCCCACCAGAGTGTCAGACTGGGCGGTGCCCGCAAGCCGCAGATCCTGGCAGCTCCACTTTAGTTTTAGTTTTGTTTGCTTTTATTTTAATAAACGTTTTGAACTTTCCTACTGACTGTCTCACCTGGAATACTGGGTGCATCTGTCTTGTTTTATGACATTATCACAGAGTACAGGAAAATGGCCAAAAAATAAAGTGTTTATTCTTGTACATTTTCTTTGTGCCGTACACATTTCAATATAGACAGCCAGGATCCGAAATTAACTTTTTGACTCATCGGCCAAGAAGACAAAATTATTAACCGGCCAAGCATTATTATTACAGCCAGAAAAAGTTTGCTCTCATATATTAAGGAACATATTATTTCTCTAAGGCATTATTTATTTTAAATCAAAGCAAAGTTAAAATAAAGGTAATGTAGGTTTATTTAATAATAGTTTAATTTAGAATTTCATTAAATCTCATTTTAAAAAATGCAATGCTCTCATGATCTCTGGCCTAATGCTCATTTCATTCACCTGCCTAAAGTTTCCAATCTCCACTGATCTAATCCACCTGCTCCTGCTTCGGCTCAGCTCTAGCTATCGGCGCCAGATTATTGATGTGAGTTGGAGATCAATGCCTTAGTTCATATTCTGGTTCTCGGGGGCCAGTGGTGAGAGAGGATTTTAGCGTTTCATAGTGTTCCTGACTTCCTGATCATGTTCTGCCTCCCGTCCACTGACTGTGCCCAGTTGTTATCTCGGCTCATTGGAGAGAGTGAGTTTTTAGCGTGCTGCAGTGTTCCTGCTATCCTGTCCTGTTCCGACTCTCTACTTGTCTGTTCCCATCTGAATGTTCTGCCTGAACTCTCTGTTGAACTCCTTGAACCCTGAACTAGCCTTTTCCGGTTCTGATTGGAACCCCTGACTGGGCTATGGACTCCTGGATCTCTGAGCCTTCCTGTTCTGATCTGTTTCCCTGACCGGGCTCAGACTCATGCTTTCTCTCCAGGACTGCAGCATCAGGTTAGCGCCCGCTGCATCTGATTGCAGCCCTCCGGCTGGATTCTACCATGTTCTTTGGATATGGACTGAACTGAAAAACCAGGAATATGACTCACATGGATAATCATCTTCCGTCAGATTAT